GCGTAAGCTACACTGGTCTCATGTGTTTGTTTCTCTATTCTCTACAGTGGTATGGATCGATTATCATCGCTTAATTATACATATGCATATTCATAGAGAGAGGGAGTGAGATGTTCTGTCGAGCATCGCATTATCTTTAGTATTAGTTTGATTCCCCTGTAGACTACTTCTTGAACATTCTCAAAAAGACTATGCAGCTGCGTGTGCGGGTTGTATGTGTGAATGTATGCGTGTGAATGGATGCGACCACTTTCTCACCTTTTCTAAATAACCATCTAAAGGCTTGATATAACTAATTGTGCAACTCATCAGATTTTTCTGTTCCAAGGTTTAATTCTAAAATTCTGTTTTCTCTAACTTGCTCATGTTCAGCTTTCAGTTATAAACGTGATCAGGAACAAGATGTTTGACAAATCTTTTTAGTTAGATTGGAATAAGACAAACATATTGAGCTCGATTATGTCAACGTCAGTTAATGACAGTACAACCAAAAAATCAACGATGGTTGATTAAGTGATAATTCAACAAGGTAACAGTTCAAGCGACATAACTTTAACAATTAAACCGCAACCGATTATGATAGATAAACTCTTCCACTAAGTCTAGGTCACTTAGAACAACCAATCATAAAGCAAATCGCGAAATGTCAAGCGTACGCGTGTTATCGTTAGCATGAGGTGATATACTAGGTGAAGCTGGAAAAGGGAATTACAAGTAAAACAATAATTGGTCCCATTGGCTATAATATGTATAAATACCATACACAAAAACATATAAATCGTCATATCCCAGCTCTATGACTAAATAGTGATTTTCTTTCTTCATCAGTTTCGATCCCATGTGGTGTCGTGAGTACCCATCTTTGTAGGAATTTCTAACTTATGTCACTTCATTTTCAAACTATCCATTTACTGTGTTGATATAGATATCTAGTTCTCAAGTTATATTCGACGAAACAACTTGTCAGTATTTAAGAGTGATCCTATTGACAGGCATTCATTATAACGGCTTTTTCAAAAGAAAGTTCCATGTCTTCACTTTGAGTGAACGTCAGAAGGAGGATCTAAATCTCGCGGGAGTAAGTTAGATTGGAGAAATATGTATATCACTTGCTTTTGTAAAAGCCAGATGGTTCATGTGTCGTCTCAAGGCCAAATACTAGGCGAGAAGTTACTGTGGAGGGATGCCGTTAAAAGAAGGTTTCAGCTCCCGTTGTGTTTAGGCCATGGAGGAAAAATGTATAAGTACTCGTGTTTTATGAGTAAAATTGTAGAATGCAGATATAACCATGAGTGATTCTTATGATGTCTATGTGGTCATGGAAGTAGTGTCCAGCCAATGAACAGAGAGTTTGTATGGACCAAAAGTATTTCACAATAAAAGTCAAATTTTAGTTGTTTTAGGAAGTTTATTTATACTTCAAGGTATCTAATTTTACGTCGTTACATTTGTAAGATAACTCCACACAATAGAATTGACATGAGTGCGAATTTTTCACGCTAATAATTTCTTTCTTGAATTTTTCTCATAATCATGAACAGTTTTATTGTAGAACTGTCGTTGTCACCCTATCGATGTGTAAAAATGGTTACCGATTTTGACATTATTAATTCACCAGCTCACCTATTATTCAGTGGATCATTAATAAAATGGAAAGCTAATCACAATCGAGGGTGTGCTGTTTAGGTTTTTTGGCGCGGAATTCAAATATCATGTATGACGAGCAGTAAAAGTACATTTATATACTGCTCGAAACATTGAAAACAATAGTGGAAAATTCTTTTTTACTACAGCAGAGTAAAACTGGTAGTGTTGAACTTATTAAATGTTTGATTTTCCTCTTTAGGTTGTATATAATAGGCAAATAAACCTTATCGTTAAGCTCTTAATACTGAAACACGCCCTAACCTGGTAACATTTCATTTGGTGAATGAACTAATCAGATAGCGCCTCTTGTAGTTTTGGATGAAATTTATTCATCCATATGTCTATAGGAAAATTCGACACTACAACTAATGTCTAACATCTCAAACCCCAACCCTAAACCCTTAAACCTTACCCTAAATATTTAACTTTAAACAGGAACATCGTGGGGACTCTCGAAAATCCGTTTGGGTTTTTATAATAGTCCGAAAAAGTGGACAACCTATCTCCCACAAGGACCAGTTTATATGTCGTGTTTTTTCGATTTACAAACATATTAACCTGTAGAATACATCAATGGATTTATTAATTACGTAACTCAGTTCACACTTTATGATGCTACTGTTTTCTTCCTCATAAACTATCTATTTATAAAATGTGTTTACTGATTGACTGAGAACTGGCAGGAAATTCGTCCCGGATTTTTAAGCTCTTCCTTAAAGTATACTTTTACTGGTATTTCTCTCGCGCATTCAATGTGATAAAACATAACGGTCAATCATTTATGAGTTTCATACAAAAACTTGGAATTATTTCATTCAGTTCAAATTGACTGTACAGTACGCTCACCGATTTGTGTACACTAAGCAAATAAACCCTGCTACTAATCCCCTCTAATCCTCTCATATCTGTATGATAGGTCTGGTCAGCCGTAGGAAATGTGTATCTTAAGTAAAGGGAATCTCAGAGCACAAAAATAAGTGTAAACTTCGTGATATAGAATACCAATTGAAAATTTTTGGTGTGAAACTTAAAAGCTGTTGCCCAGTTTGTACAGTTGAACAAAATCTTCATTTCTGATATCTTTGATGGATTTATATATTTGTGTATGTATCATATTTATATGTGACAGTATTGTAGTAGTCACATCGAATGTGAACTGGTGGTTTTTTTATAGACCTCATCAGTTGCATATTACTACAATTCAGTGTGGTTGTTTCAAATCACTACCCGTCAGTATTAACTGTGGGATGTCAGTAATTAAACTGGTGATTTATGCGTAATATACCCATTTTTATGACTGTTGAGAAACTTGACATTTTACTTGGAGCTGGATAAAGTCAATCAGTGCTGAATCACTGCTGCTATCTAATATTTCTCTTGTAACTAATCGGATGGTTTGGTCTTCATCTTAGTGGTTTCTGTTAAAACGTTGACTCGTCGAAGAATGAAACTACTGACTTACGGTATCAGTTTGTTATTCAAATGTTTTTTAATGGTTTGTAGATCCTTCGTTTTACTTTCCGATTGTTGAAATAACTACGTAGGCTAACCATCCCAAGACTAATGATTGTTTATTTATAACTTACGTATAACCTGCCCCAAAAGTGAGTGAAAGTTTAGACTAATTGGAGGCTTTCGAAATTCATTAGAATTTCTATTATCTTCCGTATTAGTGATCCGAAATAATGTGTATCACATAATACGAATTGTACACTTCAACTGCTGCTTGATGTCCAGAGGAATGTACGATATAATTCATATACTTTTTCCCTTTTTAAAAGTCTGAAAGACATACCTTTTTTTGAAGGGTAACAACCAACAGTTTAAATAGTTTTTGTAAACAGTTATACTATAGTATTAGAGTGATTTTCAACGATTCTTGAAATAACCACGACGATTTGTAGCCCAATGTTAGCTAATTAGGAAACAGTTAATGCAAATGATTAGTTTGTAGGAAAAAGATAAATCGGAAAACCAACCACATATAAGGTCATCCAGATAACTCCAGTACATTCATCGTATCACAATTTATTTCAGCGTTCTGAGCAATGTACAGAGGTATTTCCACCGCACATTTTATATGATTTAAGGTAAAAGTCATTCATTTTTGAACTTCTCACAAAAATTAAATTCACTTCTACGTTTCTGATTGCCTCGTCCTCATACCATTCTTTGTCTTTTGTGAACTAGTTTCCGTCCAATATGCACTGGATTATATTTTAAGTAACCGTGACTAAAGCTAAGTAAACTCCACTTTTTTTTAACTTTTCCAGAATTTAGTGTAAATTGAGTAAAAATTCAGTGGGAATACCACTGTCCGGTACATTTTTCAACTTCTAATATCATATCTATCACAAGTGTTAAGACAGCATAGTTGAATTGATTAATAATTTATTGAGATTTCTGTTATGATCAGTATGATAATTGCACTCAAGAAGTCGATCCACAAATCTTAACTCTGTAAATCTGGCAAGACAGAACCGCTGACCAACTGACTGAATATTAAGAAATTTACTTTATATAAGGTGTACCAGCAAAATGATGCGTAACAAAACAGCCGATAATCTTTCGCTTCTGTTCTTAATGTAAATCAATAGTGATGTCTCAATACCACAACCTTAAACAACCTCACAAAAATTGGTTCACTGAATTTTTTCTCTCTTATCATTATCAATAAGAACTAGCCTGAGTTTAAGCCTATTTTATCAAATTTTCCATCATATAGAATTTAACACAGATATTAAAAGTAAATGATTAGATTATGATTGTCCAAAATTCAAGATAATGCCAATATGTTAGTTGACTGTCGACAGGAAATCCTGAACAAAGGTTCCGCATTATTTAACACTGATCGGGAAGGTGTAGCTTTATTTCCGAGGGAATCGATGCTCTCTGTATGTTTAGAAACATTGTCATCCAGCTTCACAGTTTGAGACGTTATCGCTGAGATATTTGAGCCGTGATTTGACCTATAGGAATGAGTTGTTTATAATTTATTGATCATCATATAGTAACGAATTTCATATTTGTTTAGTTTAGTGACATGGATTCCAAACTCAAAACTGTATGTGTGCCTTGCTGACGAGGGGAAACTATAACGAATCTTTAGTTCAGGCTTTCCTGTCGACTATCTTTAGACAACTGCAACTGTACCCTACGTTGATTCACTTGGATTAGTGGCCAGATTCCAACTAAATTTATAGAATTCAATCGGACTTAAGTATTAGACAAACAATGTCACCACTCAGTAATCAGTCAATAATGATGACATACTTTGTATTGCTTTAATGATATTACTTATTTATATATTCTAGTACTAAGTTTTCATTGTTTGCACTTTGAAAAAACAACAGACTAACGCATCATACCAATATCAGTTTGACAGAAATCAATGGGATGTTGGCAATGTTTGAACAGACATCAAACATAAAGACAACTTTGTCACAAATATGTTTACCATCGTCATCGTTACCATCGCTATCATCTATGTTATCATCAAATGTGAATTCCTCCAATCATACTCCTACATCAGATATTTCTTTTAATACAATCAGTGGAACTAATGATATTTCTACCAGTGATAATAGTAATGGCTTGAATGAACATGTTTATCACTATACTAGTAACGATAATGATAACAATTTGGCACAGAGCAGTAACAGTATCAATTGTCATAGTAACAATAATATCGGTAACAGTATAGCAGGAACTGCTATTACTACTGTAAGTATCAATGAATTGGATCCTCAGGATGAAGACTGGTCTACACCAACAGGGTTAGTTCTCTTTTTTCTAGTTTAAATTTTAGTTGCTTCACGTGTAAAGTGTAATAGTTTTGCGTATTGCACATTGTACATTGAAGATTTGTTTGTATGTATTGTATCTAGTTGTATGTCGTATATGTGTGTTTATAGTTTGGATTTCTTTTTTCCACTATTGTTCACGTTCTTCACGCATTACAAAAACTATTACATTAGAGCTTTTTGTTTATCGATTATTCAATTTATTCATGTGTGTATGTATATAGGTAAAAGCATCTGAATGTATACATCATTGTTTGCATAATTATCATGAAAAATCACGTGGAACCAAACGGGCTCCGTGACTCGTCCTTCTCTCTCTCTCACTCTCGGAGGAGAACTGCGTCTGACTTTTTTGCGCGTCTTTTTTTTATCTTGTATGATAAACCACAGTAGGGTTAAGTCAGACAATAACCAGCAGTCGGTTGTTGTATACTTGGAAAGGGATCTGTTTGTTTATTTAAGCACGCGTGTGTATGTGTATGTTTAGAAAACTGGTTCACATTTGGGTGATTGTTGATGTGCACAAAACACGCTTTTTTAAAATGTGAAAGATGATTACAATTATTATGCTTCCGTAAGAATAACATATAACGTATTTGGGATCGAGTATTGAAGAGAAAGACTATTAATAATACACCCTGAGTTCCTCTAAAATTTGATCTTTCTTGTTTATAGTGCTTCTTAGTTTTATTTTATAACAAGGCACTATGTAATTGACAAAAATCACATATAGAAAACACTGTTGCGAAATGGCAACGAGTATCACATTCTATGATTGTTCGTTTCGGATACAAAAATATACGCTTCCTAAACGCTTGTCCAACCTTTTATTTGATTGAGAAGAACAACCGAATAAAGATGTACACAAATCATTAGTTATATATATATATATATATATATATATCCTAACCCCAAACGCTCTGGCACGGCAGTGTGAGGATAGTCTGCTCTCCCTCTCTCTCTCTTGTTATCAAGTGTCAAATAACTTGAAGCATAGACCCAAGGTTTCTTATCAACTACTTCCAACAACCTAACATCTTAAAACAGTATACACAGTATCGAGCCATTCAAACTAGTGGTCACATTAAAACTTGATCTATAGAATTAGAGAAGCAGTAAAGAGGACTAGTTCAACTTGATATTGGTCACTACTCAGTACAGTAATCAATAAATTGTTTGTAATGGATCTATTTTATTTAAGCTCAAATATGTTCTACATTTAATTGTTTTGGTGCAGCCTAGTTGATTAAAGCATAGTTTTCATGTTATAATCGGTTGAAATTCAATCAAATATTATAGAGTTATCAGTTTATTTATGGGTGTGTGATTCATTTATTTGAATAATAAAGTCTTAATTTATATTTGGATTAGAGTTCTTCGTTTAGATTCCTCTTAAACTGGTCTAAATATCTATTTTCTACGCCATACAATAAGCGTAGCACTTTTAGCCTAATACAACAGTATTATGTGTATTTGACTGGTGATATTAACTCGCTGTTATAGTCACACAAGATCACGAATTGACTAAACTTAGTGGTGCTGTAGACTGGTGGATTTTGATGCACACTGGTTAAGAAGATATCGTGTAATGTGATGTTTCTTGGTTCTCATTACTTCGTGTTTAGCTTCTAAACTGTTATGATATGTAGTTTCAAATGGTTTTCCAGTTCTTGTCAGTTTGATATGAAAAATAATGTCAAATTACACTATCTTCACAAATCTCATTAATTGATTATAAAACGTTTGAATCAATGATCTATAAATAGTCTTTATCAGCCAATAATGTCATCATATTTGACTATAAGGGGATTTTTGAGAACGTTCAATTTTATAATTTACACATCACTAACCGAACTTATTTGGATAACCATTGAACACTAGAAAGAACTGGACAGCTGTTTCGGCCTAACAGAGGACTCCTCAAAAGTGTACATTCACAAACTCATCGGGATCAAATCCAAGACCTTCCGATCAATGCTCGTTATTGCACAACTATTTTGCAATATCTTTGTAGATAACAGTCTCAGACCTATGTGGTTGAACTCCGCTGGTCACGGCTTCTCACTATTACTCTAGAAATCTCTCAAAACTAGTCATCAGTTTACGTTTGTACATAATCATAATTATCCATTCTCGATAATTAGTTAATTTTACCAGAGTTGGTTTAGTGTAAGTGCAAATTGTTTTCAACAATGTGTTGGGGTGTGTTTATGTTGAACTTTCATATGGTTAAGTCTTCAACAAACGCAAGTATTCACCCTAGAAAAATTTTATACAAAGTCAAATTTCGTATTGATTTTTGGCATTTTATTGAGTATATTCATTAGAGAATATAAACGATCAAGTCATTAACTGACCTTCGTATGAATTGATTATTCGTTCACATAGTTAATAATTATGTCACACTACATATATGTATGAATTGAAATTGTTTTCTCTTCTCAGAAGTTATTTAGATGGCTAACTTAGTTTGCTCTCGGGGGGGGCATAAAATAAATAATATGCTATTGATTATACTTGTATAGTTTTAATTAAACAACCAATGAATCACTGGACAGCCGTTTAGCTGTACGCATCCACGACTTCGCCACCGTGTGTCAAAGTCAGGACCTCCGGTTTTGCATATGAAAGTTCAACTTCTAGACCACTTAGCTGATATTCAATGGTTTGGAGGTTTAACTAGGAAAATAAAATAATCTTCGTAAACCCTCTTAGCAATCAAACCTGTATAATATTGCCGAATGAGGTTGAATGTCTAAATTTACTCGTGCTTTGATGATTTGACTATCTGGCTCTACCAGATTTAATTTTCGTGGACAGTGTTCTTAATATTTTCAGTTTGTTTTGTTGAGGAAAAATTTATGTAACAATTATAACTTGTCACAACAGCGATATATTTATTGAAGTAAATCGTCATATGGTCACTAATTAGTAGTAATGCAAAGTATCTAAATGGTGATATAGAATAGATGAGATGTGGCTATCACTGGGATCCAGGACGCGTAATTCATCCCATTTGGGACTCCTCAGCCGGATGTACGTGTCTAACTGCAAGCTTTGTTTACAAACGATTGGAGGTCTTCAAATATGAACGCTATCTAAGCGGTATTTGATGGATTGTCAAATGACATGCAGAACTTCAATTAGGAAGGAACACAGGTAAAAAGATGGAGTATAGGATAATTCGATATTTACTGAAGATGACATCAAAGTGGAGCAGTCGCATATCCACAGTAACCAAACATTTCCCTAGGGCACAGAAAAAATAACAAGCTGAAACTGCCAACAATCAGTCAGAGAATAGTAAAGGTCGTGCGGAAATACGAATTCGAAAAATTATACTCATGGTTGTCATCACAATACTTGTTTACAAAATTAAGTAACCTGGAAGCCTCCCATCACATCTTTTTTCGAGACTGACACACCACACTTGAAATTGTATGATCTTTCTTCGTTCATTTCATCTTGGTGACATTTTCTCAAGGTTTCTTGTTCTTCTTGTTCTTCTTCTTCTTCTTCTTCTTCTTCTTCTTCTTCTTCTTCTTCTTCTTCTTCTTCTTCCTTACTTTGTATCTTTTTCGGAAGTTTAAACAACATCAAGTAGGATATGTGGAGCTTTATTCATTTTTTCCTATCGATCTTCCTTTCGTCTTCTGCGTAGCTTGTTCTTGTGGCTTGCCGATTTTTATCCTTCTAATCTTACTTAAAAAATAGCTATATCTTGCTGACACACCAATCTTCTTAGCTCATACTTTTTGCCAGATCCGTAGTCATTCACATATACTGGTGTACCGATTTAGCGTAATCTTGTTGTTATTCTTCATTTTTAGCTGGTCTGATTAAACTATTTATTGTTTGTAGTTTTTGTTGTATAAGTGCATCTACCTATGAGTTTTGTTGTAGGGCTCTTTTGTTAGGAATAATCTTGTGTATATAAGTAGGTGCCATTGAATGATTTCCTTTTCATTATCATTACTGTTATTTCGTCACCTTAAAACTACGGTTTGAATTGGTTAACTGAAACTGGCTTGATAACTAAGTGCTTTATTCTTGTTATTTTACGGTTCATCACTACAGATGTTTTTTAAATCATTGTCTACTAGGTTTGTTTTCTTATTAAGGACATGTTTTTAAAAAGTATTGCTACGACAAGATAAGTGAAAATGATGAACTTTGGAAGCCACCTATTATGTGGTCAGTATTCTTATTCCTAACGTGTGTCCATCTGTGCTAAACATTTGGTTTATTCGACTCACTAACTGTCTTTTTCTGTCTTTAAATTAATCATAAACCTGTTATCTAGTTTTGCACTTCAAATTTCCTCGTTAGTTACATTTTGTAATTTCTTATTCAATGTAGATTGTGGTCCTGTAATTCTTGTATAAAGTATTGTGAGTTAGATATACAGAATGTACATCGACTGTTTTATACTTACGTTCTATTTGGTGTTTGGGGGATAGGGATCCTGGACTAACTAATAAGCGTTAGTGCATTAAGTCATTTATTTGGGCTAATAAGTATATTGGTTCAAGCATAGGAAGTCAGGATCATAACAAATATCACTGACGCTTCATATGAAACTACTGAATTATGTTGTTGTTAAAGCATCTAATGGAGTTCTGGTGAATTCATCGATTGATTTGGAATATACGAGTAGTCATCCTTCATTCCTCTTTCAACTTTAAACGCAATGTTATATTCCATACTTTTCATTTCTCAATTTTATTTATTTGTATCTACCTTTAGTCGTTCTCGTTTTCATTAATTTTCCTGTTGTTATTAATGTGTTCAACTGCTTGACTTTTACGTCCTGTCAGTTTTTTCTAAACTCTATTTGTGTAAAAACTTTGGGATATTGAACCAATGCTATTAATGGCGTTGTGTTCTGTGACCTGGGTGATTTAACTGCAAAAGTTGCCTTGTCGTTTTGGTTAAAATTGTTAGCGCTTACCTCGCCTGGAAGTAAGCTGTTT